AAAGAACAATTACAAGGAAAATTTTGATTTTAACGAGGTTCACCACAGGGTTACTCCCCGTCCCGGAATAGTACCCACTATTCCGAGAGACAATTTTGATTTTCTTTGACTCTAAGAAAGGAAAATTAATGACAAACTATTACAAGGAAAATGTGAGAAAATCAAAAGGTAAGACATCAGACCCGAATCCGCACAGGGATTCGTTACAACCTTTGATCAGCTGAACCTCTACCCCAGTTATGATGAAAGCCACTTAACCCAAGTCTTTGCCCTATTCCAAAAAGAATCCCAAAACAGTACCTACACCTATTTACAGAGAAGGTATATATAGTCTTCTGCATAAGTAGTAGTTGGAATTCAAACTTCTCAATAATCATAATCGACTCACCCTTGATTTATGCTCTGATCTTAACTTTTTTCCATTTGTGAGTCAATCCAATCTTCTGACTTGATCAAAGGCGATTCTTCAAGCCAATAATGGACCCAAGGACAAATGGAGATCATGAGTTTGCCTATGGTGCTGGCCACATCAACCCATTGGCAGCAACGAATCCTGGACTTGTCTATGATGCATCTGCAGCGGATTATATTCATTTCCTCTGCAAGCAAGTTTACACCACCACCACCACCGTAATGCAGATCACCGGCGATAGCAACACTTTTTGTAACCGGGTAGTCCCTGGAAGAGCCTGGGATTCGAACTATCCAACGTTTGGTGTAGTAGTGGAACAAGGTCATTCTATCAAAGCAACTTTCACAAGAACAGTCACAAACGTTTGCTCAACGATTTCTACATATCGTGTCACTGTGCAAATGTCGAGTTCTGTCAATGTGAAAGTTCATCCCACTAAATTGTCTTTCATGGCAGCTGGGGAGAAGAAGACATTTATAGTGAAATTCTTGGGTCAGAAGATGGTGGAGCAAACGATTCAATCGAGCACAAGGGCGGACCCACTTACAAGAGTGGTTTGTCAATTGACAAACCTTACATGCAAAATTTGGACAAATTACTATTGTAAAATTTGATTTCAGTGATGGTAGTATATGGATTTGAAATTATTTGAGAACCCTAAGTGATTTTGATTCATCGTTGAATACCCTTGATGGAATTTCTGTGTCCACCACTGTCGGGCACCATTGTATGGAAAGACGAAGTTCATGTGGTTAGAAGTCCGTTGGTGATTTACAAAATCCCACCAAATTCTATGACCACTTCGCCATTTAGGCCAACTGAGAGTATCAGATTTCGGACCAATTCTATGAATTGGAACATACATTTCTAGGACTAATTAGGTCTCACATTTATTGATTTTATATTACATTTTTTTTATTTAAAGGAGGCAAACCGCCAAGTAGTTACACACTCCTAAAGGCTAGGAGCAAAGGACAGAGCAAATTGAAACAGAACCAAAACAAGGGATCAAGAGGGAAAAAACAGGGGAACACAAATCAGTTAGCTTCGGCTCTAGTGATCTGTCTAGGAAAACTGACTCCTATCATGTCATCTCTGCAAATTCTATCAAGCTCCAATGGGGGATCAATTAACTCATACGTATCGAAGGGATAGACGAGACTGTGCTTCGAGAGCCAGTCCGCGACTCTATTACCTTCGCGATACGTATGCACCAATCGAACCACCCATTCTCTGGCCAAAATTAGTCAGATAGTGCCAAGAATTGTTGCATAAGGATGTACTATGTCGTTCCTCATATCAATGAGCTGCAGTGCTAACTTTGAGTCGGTCTCAAGAATGAGAAAGCGAGAACCCTTTTTCCAAGCCAACTCCAGTCCCTGTAAAATGCCCATAACTCAGCCAAAGAGCTATACCAGAGCCAAGCTTGCTGCAGAAACCTCCTATCCAGACTCCATCATGATCTCGAAGTACTCCTCTTGCCGTAACCATTCCTGGGTTGCTTTGCGCTGCGCCATCTGTATTCATTTTGTGCCAACCTTCAGGGGGTTTGATCTAACTAACTAGCTCTTCCACTCTTGTTTGATTCACACTCATTGAGGAAGACTTCGGAGCTGAATTCCAAGCTTTCACCCACTCTAAAGCCTTAGCCACCACATAGTGATGCAAAGTGGGTATGGTCAGTTTCACCCATTTAAAAATCCTCTCGTTCCTGCACTTCCAAAGGTACCAAAGGATTAGGCTGAAAAAATTGTTCCATTGGCCAGGCCAATATCCAGTCGAAACATTTAGGATGTTGGTCTTTATCCAAGTATCAAGATCGCTGCTAAAAAAGCTCTCTCTTCCTTGTTGATCCAAAATTCTGTTCCATACTGCTTTGGCCCTTCCGCAATCTCTTAAGCAGTGAAGATTGGTCTCTGCCGTATTCCTGCACTCAGGGCATGAGTCATTATTAGTTAAATGCATGTGCTTCCTGATGCTGTTCGTGGTAAGTTTCCCTTGCGCCGCCATCCATATGAAGACTCTGACTCGTTCATGAACTTGGAGTTTCCAAATGTTTTTTCAAATTGAATTGGTTTGCTTATCCGACTACTCCTGAATTCCTTTATAGGCAGAGCTAACAGTGAATTGACCATTCGAAGTAATGCTATAAAAGGTTTGATCACCTTCCATGTCCAAAGGGTCAACCATGGTGGCCCGAATCTTATGAACCATCTGCTCTGGGAGAAGGTGTTGAAACTCCGCAAGCTTCCAGCCACTATTCGGATCCCATAAATCGGCCATGCTCAGATTTAGCTGCTCCTCTAGAACATCCACAGTGGAGAGCTTCTTCAGGGTAACCTGCGAAACCCATGAACACACCAGAAATTAGTTCGCCTACCATTCTTAACATTCATGGCAAAAACATTCTTCAACACATTAGCAGCAGAGACAAAGCTTCTCTAGGTGAGAGAAATTCCACTTTTTTTTTTGCATGATGTTGATGCCCTCTCTGTTGCCTCCATACTTGTCAAGCAGAAGTTTTGTCCATAGAGTTTCTTCCCTCATAGCTAACTTCCAACTGCCTTTCGCAAGCATGGCTTGGTTAGCCTGTCTAGTAGGGAGAATTCCAGCTCCTCCCTGATCCCTTGGAAGGATTAATTTCTCCCCACCCAACCGGGTGGAATTTTCCTTCTCCCTCTTCTTCTCCCCAAACGAATTTCCTGTTAACCCTGTCCAACATATTGCAAACAGAGGCAGGAAATGCTTCGGAAAACATTGGATGGACTGCCATAGAAGAAGAAATTGATCTCACCAGAGTCAAGCGAGAGGCGAGCGAAATGTAATTTATCTTCCAGGAGGCTAGTTTTTTCTGAATACGAAGGATTAAGTCCTTGTACCTAGCCTTGGTGAATCTTCCATGAATTGCATTGAGACCCAGGTATCTCCCCAAGTCATTAGTGAGTGGGATATTGGCTCGGTCACTGAATTGTTGGGCCTTCTGACGACTGATATTTGGTGACACAAACATCATGGACTTGTTTAAGTTAACCTTTTGTCCTGAACTTTCACAAAACTCATCCAAGAAACGCTTGATAACCTCCACCTGCTTGATCCCTGTCCCTGCAAACAAAATCAAATTGTCTGCAAAGAAGAGGTGAGAAAGTTTAAAACCATGAGAAGTAAGTGACAGGGGCTTCCATTCATTGCTTTCCACGGCTAACTCAATATGGTGAGACATGCACTCCATACATAGAAAAAAGAGGTAGGGAGATAGGGGATCTCCCTGCCTGACTCCCCGAGAAGGCAGAATCCAATCCGTAAGTTTGCCATTCCAATTAATCTTCGTCCTGTTCTCTTCCACACACTTCATGATTCTGCTAATCCAAGTACTAGGAAGCCCGATTTCTATCAAAGTATCTCTGATAAACTCCCACCTAATCCTATCATATCCTTTTTCAAGATCGATCTTGATCACTACTCCTCCCTTCTTCCCCTTCATGCGGCGGAGAGAATGTAAGACCTCTTGAAGGAAGATGATGTTATCAGTGGTCTGTCTTTTTGGTATAAATCCACTTTGAGTAGGAGCCACCAATTTCCTCATTAACGGCTTTAGTCTATTAGCCATTGCCTTAGTGATGGCCTTCAAATTGACATTGTTGAGACAGATTGGTCTTAGCTTGACAGAGGACTCCGGGTGATTAACTTTGGGAATAAGCACAAGGTTGGAATCAAGCACGTATGCTGGGAGATGACCTGTTTCAAATAAAGAGGTGCCTAGATCAGTAGTGCTTTGCCCTATAAAGACCACAATTTTTGGTAAAAAAACCGCCTGAAACCCATCAGGGCCAGGAGCAGAGAATGGTTTCATCCCAAAAATCGCTTTATGAATGTCTGAGACAGAGAAAGGGCGAAGAAGGGTTAAGAGCTCTTCCTGGTCAATTATGGGGAAACAATTCTTACGCATTCGGTCAAGATAAGGAGTGGGATCTTGCTTGTATAGTCTGGAATAGAAGCCTACAACCAACTGTTCCAACTCTACCGGATCCTCCACCTAATTCCCAACTTCGTCTATAAGAACAAGAATCTTATTCCTTCTTCTTTTCCTGGTGGCTTATTGGTGGAAATAGGCCGATTTTTTTCTCCAAGCATAGCCCAATTTTCTTTAGCCCTTTGATACTAGATAACCTCCTCTTGTGCCAGCAAAATGTCTAGCTCTGCTTCTACTTTTGCTTGCAGTTTGATGAGGCCTAGATTGAAATTATTGGCAATACTGGTTTGAATTCCTTTTAGCCGAGCCAACAACCTCTTTTTCCTCTGATTAATGATACCAAATGTCTCCTTATTCCAGGTTTGCAACTTGCTAGCAACTCATGGAGAGCTTGGTGAAGGTTGAGGTCTTTTTTTCCAGGAAGCTGCAAAAAAGTTATGGAATTCATTGTGAAGTAGCCAGGGATCCTCAAAACGGAAAGGTCTCCCTCCACTAGGAGTAGGCATGATCCCTGCACAACTGGTTAAAATAGAAAGATGATCAGAGTGTAGCTTGTGAAGATGTTGAACATAAGTGTTGGGGTAAGCTGAATTACAGTCCGAATTGCATAATGATCTGTCAATTCTACTGGCTTTATAATGACTCATGTATACCCCCGAAACCAAGTAAACCTGGCCCCTGAAAAACCCAAATCAATAAGAGTAGCTAAATCAATCCAATCAACAATTTTTTGACAACGTCTAAGCGTAGCTGAGGAGATTGCTCCAGCTTTCTCCAAGGTGAAGCGGTAAGCGTTGAAATCGCCAGTGAGGAGCTAGGGAATCCGGGTGTTTCTAGTGGTTTGTATGAGGTGTACCCACAGCTGTTGATGGAACTTGTATTGAGGACTTCCATACACTCCAGTGAGTAACCATTCCTCTTGACTGCTTCTAGAGACTTTAATAGTGATGTGTTGCCTGCTGGCATCTACTAGCTGCATGTTGAAATCCTCAGTCTTCCAAGCCAGCCAGCAACCGCCTTGCCTGCCCTCGACATCAACTCTCACTACTTCATCAAAACCCAGAGTCCCACAAACTCTGTTTGCACGACCTACGCTAATCTGAGGCTCAAAAAGAAGAAGGAAATCAGGACTGTAGGATTGGACAAGAAGCTTGATTGCCCTCCTCAAGTCTTTACTTCCTGCACCACACACATTCCACGCTAGAATTTTAAAGTTAGGTTGTACAGACATAGGAAAAGCCAGAGTCAGGGAAATTCTCATAAGATCAGGTGATAGCCACCGGAGCGGCAGGAGGTCCTCCCTGATTTCCATCGATTTCCAGCTGAACATTTGTAGCGGCCGCCACTTGAATCTCTTCCATGTCCACATCGGATGGCTTCCCAGGGAATATTTTCTGAAATTCCAGAGCCTTCAACTGAGTGTGAGCATAAAACTCCTCAATGGCTTTGAGGGTTATCGGGTAGCTACCCTCCAAGAGCTTCTTAGGCGATGTCTTTTTGTTGGCTGTGATGATTTGAAAAGGCTTCTTGGTTGCTGATGGGCCTCGATAGGATGATGATGATGGGCTTGGCCTTCGTCGTTCGAAAAGAGCCCGCCAACCTAGCACTCGTTTTATCAACGAGTAGGAGTAGAGATTTTGCAGCAGCTTGCCATGTAGATTAGGACTCTCATTATTCTGTTGCATTGTTGAATTGGTCATGGAATGTTAGTAGTGGAATAATTGACTCCACCTTAAGTGGAGCTTAGTGGTTAGGATACTAGCTTTTTTTTAACGTTTGTTGTTCATTGGTTGTAGCCTTTATAGGTCGTTTGAGATTATGGAATAAGACAAGCATTATCAAATTACAAAGCTAGCAACCTGGTGCTCTCGCCAAGAAAAGAGAACTGGCCGCATCCCGCTAAGAAAAGGGATACCTTCAATCATACAATTTTTATCCTTATCAGTTGCCCTGAGACTGATGCCTTTGTTTTGCGGTTGAGTCTGGGAATTCTCCTCCTTTTTTCTCTGTGACCGTTGGCAGGCTGAAATTCGTTTTGAATTTGGGTCAAGGTTTTCTTTCTGACCAGTCGTCAACTTAGGTACCGATAGGAGATGAATCATCGTGTTGTTCGGGCCCTGAATCACTTCCTGCGAGGGGGCCGATCTTGAAGAGGAGGCTTGTCCCAGATGTGAGCTTTGGGCCTTCGAAACCAGGGTTGGGCTTGATTGTATATTTTTTTCTTTGGGTTACTTCAACCGCCACTCCTGAGAGCCGTTGAGCTTCTTTTTCCCGTTGGCAGCCTCTGTTTCCATATCCCCTGCTTTCCCCTTTTGTGATCCTTGCATTCTTCTCTTCATCTTTGGTTTCTTTATTTCCTTTATTCTCCGCTGAGATTGCGCCTTTATGATTGTCCACTTTCCCCTTTCCACCTGATTTTGATGCGATTTTCCCTGAATCCATGCTAATTGACAAAGGTAAGTTTGACGAATTACCCATTTTGTTCTTCGTCTGTTTTCGTGATTTCCGCGTGACTTGCATCCACGGACCATAGCCGGTGGGGAGCTCCAACGACTGGCTCACCGGTGGATTCATCAAGGTGTCACCAGATACCACAGCCAAAACTATCTCATGGGGTGGATTACATTCGGGACATTGATCTTCAAGATGCCCGATTTTGCCACATTCATAACAAATTTGAGGGATATTTTCATAAAGAACCTGTTGTTGTATTCCGTCAAGATAGACCTTCGTCGGAAGCGGTTTTGTCATGTCCAGATCGATTGCAATCCTTGCAAACTCCCCCCTTTGCAACATTTTCGTATGATAGTCCAGCTTGACTTTGTGCCCAATCAAATTCCCAATTGCAAAGAGGACTTCTCTATGATAGAAATGGACTGACGACTCGGGGAACTGAACCTAGGTGACAACCGATCAATGGGGTTTGTCAGTCGAACGGAAACTAGGTGTCCATTGATGAACCAGTTAGTAATGATCAAGGATCACCCATGGTCCTCATGTGACCGCTAGAAGGTAGTCTTCATCATTGCTAAAAGTCACCAGGAAGGTCTAATTATTGAGATCCATGATATCCAATGCTCCTGCAGGCCTCCACTTCCATCTAAGATGCGAACACAGGTAAGAGTAGGAAACTGATCGGCCTAGAAGGCGAATCACAAGAGTCTTTTTCCACAGATCACATAGCGTTTCTTTGAATTTTTCTGAGAAGTTGAGAGCCGGATCACCATTGAAGGTATTGGCCATCATGTCGTGTTCTCCCACGAACGTCCATTGAATTCCCTTGACAGCTTTCTCCAAATTTTGGCCTATAAGAACATTTTAGTAAGAAATCGGAGTGACCACCACCCCTGCATCTGGTTGAGGAGTGTTATGTTGTTGTTGCTGAGGCGGGGGGGTCCGGAGGTTTGTTCGCCGGTGCAGCTATCGCCAACGGCATTGGAACGAGAGGGAGAGCGTTTGAATGTATCTTCGAGTAGAGATGGAAGTTTGGTACCGGCATTTGTGTGTATCGAATTTTTCGATATTTGATATTACCGAATACACATACTATTTATGGGATTGAGATTGAATTTCAATGGTTGTTGTTATTAGGGATTACAGGATTGAGATTAGTATATAGCAAAATATCGAAATATAAGGTATTGTGTATTTTGTCCCTCCCAACTCGACTTCGTCACTCCCTACTAATAGACCCCTCAACCACCAATACAATCACTTAATTATACGGAGCTCATTCCCTCATTATTTAACAACTCATACATACCAAACTCATTAATATACTTGTACTATATTTATGGGTTGTTTCGTCTCATGTTTTGGTTTGTTGCTTTAGTTAATTAGTTTGTAATGTGCTTCTTAGGCATCACCTTTTTTAGTTTGTTGTTATTGTACTTGAGATTTTTCTCACTTGTATTGCAAAAGTGTTGACACCATTATTTGTTTTATAAATTTTGAGAATGGTTTGTGGAATTGCTGGCAAAGGAGAATTATTTGTGTTTTCGTATTTGATTTGTAATTTGAGGAAAAATAATTTGCTATTTGGTAATAAGACGGAGCCAGGAATTTTGGGTAGGGGGGCCGAAATTTTTACTTTTCACAACACAATTTTGTAAAAACGATACTTAAAATTACAAAAGTTACAACTCAACTCATTTGATGTAAATAATTTGATTTGATTATAAACCTGAACCTTAACATGTGATTTATCTTGTATCATATAACCAAACTATACTTCACAGTTAAAACATGGGGCCAAATTTTCTTTTCACAAAAACAATATTTGTATAAAAGATACCTAAAATTACAACACAACTCATTCGATGTAAATAATTTGGTTTGATTATACACACGAACCTCAACAAGTGATTTATCGTATCATATAGCCACACTGTACTTCGCAATGAAAAATAAATATCCCCTATACTAGTATAGGGGCCAAGATCAGGTGACTAAGGGGGTTCCCTTAGTCACATGGCTAAGTGAATCTCAGCCACTCAACCTCATTAAAATCCAAGGGCTCCTATTAGTCCAATTTAATGAAGGGTAATGTAGTAATTCCATTTTTATTTTTAGCTTAAAAGAAAAAAAAATATGGTCCGTCCCTTTGGACCCCGCGCCGCCTCCGATTAATTTCCGTAGAAAGCTGGCGCCATTACTCCATTCCCCACACACAGAGAGAGAGAGAGAGAGAGAGAGAGAGAGAGATTTTGTACTGTTAGTATGCTTTATATTGTTTGTCGGTTTATTTTGTAATGTTTGTACGCTTTGTTATTTTGTAATGTTTGTCGGTTTTTTTGTAATGTTTGTACGCTTTGTTATTTTGTAATGATTGTCGGTTTTTTTTGTAATGTTTGTAAACTTTGTTATTTTTGTGTACCGTGTTTATCATTTTTGTCAACCATTTTTGTAATGTTTTTTATGTATAAAAAACACCCGGGTTGACTTTGGGAAGGAGCCCCTCTATATAGGGATGGAGCCTCCAAAGTCAACCCGGGTGTTTTTTCATTTCGTATGGATTGTCGGTATAGTTTGTCATTTTTGTCCACCATGTTCGTATTCTTTGTATGTCTAAAAAACACACGGGTTGACTTTGGGAAGGAGCCCCTCTATATAGGGATGGAGCCTCCAAAGTTACCTAAGAAAATTATGTCTAAATATTATCATGAATAAATTAACAGTTGTCAAAAGAAATTATATATAATTTACCTAAGAAAAAATATTGGAAAATCGGATATGTATTTACCTAGGAAAAACTTTAAAAAGAAACATAAAAACTTAATAAATTACCTGTGAAAAAGAGTGGGAAAAGAAAAGACCAAGAAGAGGGGAAGTATTAATAACAAGATTAACTACCATCTCCACCATTTCACCTCAAGCTAATTAGTGACCAAAATCACAGACACATGTTACTTATACTTTGATTCTCAAAATTATGGGGGGCCATCCTAAGTTGGCTCCGCCCAGTTTGGTATGTACTGATACCGAACAAAATGCTAGGGATATCGAATTTATTTTGAAATTAAAATTTAGTTTGAGTTTACAGCATTATTTGGTATTTGATACTACGATACCGATACATCTACTACAAATAATTACCTTTAATTTCCACTTTGTGACATATATCCTTATTTTTTTAATTTTTTTTTCCTTTGTAGAGCTTGAATTGGGGTAAAATATTTCGGCTACCACAGAAGTATGAGAATTTTGATTTGTGGGAGCTATTCAACTTAAGTAAGTAAGAATAGGACGTCGGGTACCACTAACGTCATTGAATTGTACATATGTTAAAAAAGGGGCGGCCATGAGGGTGTGTTGGGACGCGTTCACTTGCGTCAATTAGTTAATTTGATTGTATATTATAGATTGTATTTATGATTTACTGCAGGTGATTAATTGATTATGAGTTTGATAGTGATTAGTGACTTTTTTTGGGTGATTAGTGATTAGTGACTTTAGTTATATTAATCAATATTACTGCTTGTTATTGTTCAATATTCTCATGTATATATACGTTATAGGTTGTATTGTATGCATAGTTGTCAAACGGGTGGTATGTCGGCCGGTTGAACCAGGTCCAACCGGTGCCGGTCATGAAACTGGCTGGAATACCACCGGTATTTTGTTATGGTCAACACCGATCAATACCGGTCAACACCGGTCAAAACCGGAAATTTCGACGGTTCAACCGGAATGTTAAGTGCCGGTATCTGAATTCTGGAGACATACTCCGTCGTCCTCCGCTAGATCCTCAACTGCCCCGCCTCCTACATATGGGTTCGAACTACTGTGGTCTGTGGAGGAAGCATATTTTCCCTTCTATGTTTAATTCATCGGAGAGGCAAGGAATAGACAGAGTGCAAATCAATTGAGAGGAGAGAGGAAGGATATTTCCCCTTTTGATTCTATGTTTGGACGGATGAGGAAAAGGAATGAGAAGGATAGGGGAGAGGAGCGGCTAGGGTTGGAGAAAGGTTTATTGGGGGGATTTTGGGAGAAGGGTAGTACCTACACCTACACGAGACAGAAACCTCTCCCTTTTTTGGCCTTTTCTTTTTATAATTTGTTTTATTTATTTTTATATGATCTTATTTTTCCTATATAATTACTTAAACCGGCATACATACTGGTTGTATCACGATCGAACCATTTCGCTTATGAAACCGGCGTAACGGTATAAACCGGTTTGACAACCTTGATTGTATGTGATTAATTTGACGCAGGCCCATCCTCAAAACTCCACGAACCAAACTTGATCTTTTTGTTTCTTTAACAGTTAACTTAGCTTGATCTAATGCTTTCCCTTTTTTATTACTCGAAGTTAGGGGTGGGCATCCGGTTCGGTAAACTCGAACCGGACCGAACCGAAACCAAAATAATATTGTTCGGTTCAGAATTTGGAAGCGAAATTGACATAATTCGAAAACCAGGATCTTCTTGACCGAACCCCGAACCGACAAACCGAGATATATTACCTGGCCCTATTTGTACACTCCCTGGCCCAATCCCCTAACAGCCCAACTCTCTTATTCCAAAGCTCAGTCAGACCCCACCAGGCCACAACCTTAAGCCCAATCCTCCTACCAGATTCTCACCCTTAACCCTATCTCTAATTCCCTATCCCTTATCAAATTCCTTCTCCCACAGCAGTAGCCAGTAGGCAACGCCTCGCCGCCCCTTCACCAACCAGCCAACCACCAATCCTCCACTGCCGCCGTTCCAAAAGAAGATCTCTACTCCTGCTCATCGACCGCCCACAGGAGTCCGATCACCGATGGCATTTCCCCTCCCTTCGCTTTCTTCTACTCCCCGAAACTAGAAACCCAAATCCAAACATAAAAACCCACATTCACTGTAGAGCTATTCGAAATGCAAGGCGAGTTTGGTTGGCTGTTTTTACTGTAGAGCTATAGTTGATGGCATTTCCTCCGCAGGACAATTACTTGCTGGGGTACCCAACATTCTTTACTCTATGAAAGTAAGTAAAACGACGGTTGACGGTTGTTTCAGAAAAAAAAAAAAAAAAAAAAAGGAACGACGGTTGAGATATGATGCATTGAACGACAAGTGCAAAACATGACTGAACCTGGGAAGGAAATTGCGCCTTTATTAGTTTCTCAACACGAATTGCTTTTCATACAAAATAAAGACGGACAGAAAGATACAATCATGGGACAGAAATGAACATAAATTAGGAAAGGACACTAGAAATCATTTGCTTGCTCTAGTCTAGACAGGCACACTTGTCTGCATAGGCTGCTGCTGCTGCTGCTGCTGCTACTGATCACATCTAAAAAAGCCACACACCGAGTACTTAAAATTCTTCTCTTCAAGTACTACATCCGACTCAAATTAACTACAGTTCCCGCTACGTCAGTGACCGTTGATGATCGAGCCATTAGCAGGAGCGCCATCAGCTGCCTTTTGTGAGTAGAATCTACGATACATCGAGTCGACTTCAGTGAGGTAGTATGTTCCTGGGGCCAAGCAGCTTGTGTCCTTGCTTGTCACAAAGTCCTTACCTCCATACCTGTGCTCCATTAGCTTCAGGGTTTCCACAAACTTCTCTGGTGCAACCTGCACGAGGAACAAAAAACACATGCAATGAGAACCGATGAATCTTGAAAAGAAGGCAAAGGCTAATCTGCTTTTCTAAGAAAGAGGTGTTAAAAACTTGAAGTTAAGGTGCTGGAAGTGGTTTGTTTGATAGAGATTAGACTTCCCTTTCAGGGAAGCAATATCCCCAAGTTTCTTCATCATTTATCTTCTTGTGTATCATAAAGAATCGAAAAGCGAAGTGGAGGTTTCTTTTAAGCATTGTGCCAAGTTCAAAGTAGTAGTGGAAGTTACCTCAATCCTTGACTTCAATTTTTCATCGACACTCATCACTGAAGCAATGTTGGACAAGCTAAAAGGATATTGTCCTTCCTGTAACTTTAAGGAGAACATTGTGGCCGTTAAACCACTTCCATATGAGAACATTATAATCCGTTTGCCCGCCTGTCATAAGAATCCACAAAAGAACATATGTCAACAGATTTGACATATTATTTCACCAAGTTGTTGGAACATTTTCACTGTATGGGGGAGGGGGAATACCAGTTCACTGTTCTTGTTGTGCAGAAGGGACACAAAAGCAGCATAAATTGACGCAGTGTACATGTTCCCGACTTGTTTTGGTATCAATGTGGTTGGCTGCACTTTTGAGTCATAAAGCGGCTTGGCAACTTGTTGAGCCACCTGCAAAAATGGCAATCATTAGGTATAAATTGGTTGGCAGTTAACGTAGGATGTCATCATCGATAGACTTAAACTATCTTGTGAGAAAGATTTTGTTCTGCGACCATTGAGGTTGGCTGGCTAACCTTTTCAAGATCCCGACTTTGGTAGCTCTCATCGCCAGATAAACTTGAAAATGGTGCGAACTTCTCTTTAGCAGCCTCATCAATGGAGCTAGAAAGAGACGTGAATCACAATTGTTTAGTCAATAGAAAATTATAATCAACTAATAGAGTCCAAGTAAAGCAAAATACAAGAAATATTCAGAAGACAGAAGCCAAAGAACCTAACCTTGCACCCCTGGTGAAGTCATCAAAGACCAAACGGGCAAAGCTCTTCTGTACAAGCTGCAGCAGAGTATTTATTTGAAAACGTTAACAAGCTTGACGAAAAGAGGGGGAAAAAGGAAAAGGTAACTCAAACTAAAGTTCAGGATAAACAACCTACCTTGTTGTAAGGTGAATGAAAAACAATATAGTCAGCATCAGAAATAGAAAATTGCTTTCCTTCAAACTTCTCATACCTACAAAAACAGGACGCCAGTCACGTCAAAGAACCAACTCTCAACAATTCAATACTAAAACCTCAAAAACCAAAAGAGACATACTTGGCACAATAATGCTTGTAGCAGGCATCAAGAGCCATGAGGTAGCACGTTTGAGAAAGCTTGCCATCTACAACCTACAACCACATCAGCAACATTTGGCTACAAGTATTAGATGAATTCCACCACCTGCATATAAAGATATTTTAGACATGCTGTTGCATTTCGAAAAGTTCAGTTCTTTTGCTGAGATGCACTCAGGATTATGCTCTTCCAATGCCAATGTTAGTAGTGCCCCATTCACAGAAAAGGCCTAAAAGAAATCGATATGTCTAAGCTCTTGAAAAATGTAAGAGGTTAGTTAGAAGACTCACCGGATACTCGCTGGCAAGGTTCGGCTTGTAAAAGTCGTAGGCATGCGCCATATGGCTCCCCCTATATTTGCTTTCAAAAGCAATAGGTGCATCTGGGCCAATTAGCATGACAATTGCTGCAGCTCCTCCAGTAGGCCTGGCTGGTCCTTCAGCATAGACCTGATGAACACAGGAAGACACCTCCAGTAAGTATTAAGTAATCAAATATTGGCATCTGACCATATATGAACAGCATCAATGGAGAAAAGAACCATACCGCACTATCAGTACACACAACAAGCCCATATCGACCATCCCACGAACTGCTTTCAACCCAGTTTACACAGTTGAACAGAGCTGCAGTTCCTCCATAGCAAGCATTGGTCGAGTCCACACCTTCAATGTCGGTGTTTCCACATTTCTGTTTGTCCCAGAACAAAGAAAAGGCAGAACACGAATCAATAACATGCTTAATAAATGGAATAGACCATGAAAGCTGCCATCAGGACAAATCCACAAATGAGAAAACCAAATCTCAAGTACCACTAGGCACTAACATCGAACTTAAGCTTGAATGAATTCAGCGAAGTACATCCCTAAATCTAACATCCAATCAAACAACTCCATCTACCAGTACTAAGCTCCAATGGCTGCATGCAACATCCAATATCTGCTAATAATTCCTACTCATCTAAATAACCATGGATAGTTCCTGCTTTTGAACAGAATGGATGAGCATTCATTTATGTCGATACACACAAGAAAAGAGCACTGCTTTAAGCTATAAGAGCACAACCCAAAACCAAAAAAGGAATACAGACAAAAGAATAGGAGAGGAAAGTGGAAAAGCACCTCAAAGATCTGCATCAAGAAAGTCTTGATCGATTTGCTTTTATCAATCACAGTCTCACTCCCAACTTCAAGGCGACCAACTTGCTTGGGATCAACACCATACTTCTCCAGGAGTGAATTAACGGCAGTCAAGCTGCAGTTCATTAGAGAATCGATTAAAAGGGGAGCCAAACAAGGAGAAGCCGAAAAACGTAAAAGCGACACAATCAAACCTCATGGAGATGACGTCTTCCACATCAGTACAAAATGCCATACAATCCTGGCCAAGCCCAATTGTGTACTTCCCTTTGCTCGCTCCATCATGAACCTCCAGCGCTTCCTGTTTGGCACCAACCAAATTTCTCAGAAAATAATGACCAAGCAAATGGACAAGGACTGATAAAAGGAGAGAGACTTGTAGATTTCATCCCAACTTCGTAAACATCGAAACAGGGTCCATAAACGGGTTTTTTTTTTAAATCCGAAGAAAACCACCAAAATCAATCGTTGTCACACAGAAATTAAGACTCCGAAATCATCAGTTCAGAGGCAAAACCGCCACGCTCAATTCGATTCACTGCAATCGCAGAGTCAAGGGAGGGGAAAGATGGAAAAGGCTTTCCCACTGTAACAGAGTAGGCGAAGTTTGCCAGTTCGCCGGCGGGAGAGATGGAGGGCAGGTAGAGCAGAGGCGGGAGCGAAAGAGAGGGAGAGAGATCGAGAAGAAACTCACCTGTTGAACACAGGTAGGAGGGAAGTAGATTTCCATGGCCAAAATTCCTACATTCTTCACCATTTTTCAGGAGCGTGATTTCTTCCCAACTTGGTCGGAGGCAGACGGGAATCAAAAAGGGAGAGGAGAGTGGCCGACGATGGAGAAGGGACACACAAAGATGGTGGCTGGTGGTTGTTGATTGTGAGTGGGAGTGTTAGAAGGCCGTTGAGAGAAGAAGCCTTTATATAGAAAAACGAGGAGGGTGGGCAGAATTTTCCTTCCGCTTCTTTCCGTTTTGCCTCAACTTATTATTACATCACATGCCAAGATTGTTCAATTTTTGGGTTGGACCGCGGTCCTTTTGGGTTGGCCATTGTTGTTGATGAGCTCAACCGAGCTGATTAGAGTTAGTGAACCGATAACCATCCTTTAACCAAAGAACGTCATAGTGATTTTGGGTCGTTTGCTTGTTGGATTTGGGTCATGGATAGCATAAGTATCTTTTAATTATAACAAAACGAGATTCGTTTAAAGATACTTTTATTGAGATTATATTATCTAGACATTATTTTTAGTAATATACTTTTGGCACGTACTTAGTCTATGAGGCATTTCTAGTGTAAAAGTAAAAAGGCACATTGATCATCAGTTATAATTTGATGCTTTTTTTTTTTATCATTCAAAATTGATGCAGGACCCATACAAGAGTTGGGAAAGGGGGGATTAATTACAACTATAACTAATATTATTGAAATCTGTGATTGTGACTACTGACAACTGACAAGTGATAAAAGAAGACAAGTGTGGGAGGCTGCATGCATAGCTGGACTGACTGGTCTACAAGTCACATTAGAATTAGAACAGTCACAATTTTAATTCTAACTACCACTACTAGTCGGATATTAAATTAGGAATTTGATTTGCATTTGGTTGGTTGGGTAAGTTGTGTTCACAAATCACAAGGCTTGTGAAATCGTACCGCAACTCATACTAGAAAAGTAAGTGATAGAATATTTTGAAGTAAAATCGTGATTTTAATTGTAATTCAAACATTTCCTATTGCTCAAATTGCCTATTGTTTTGAATTTGATATCTGATATTCTGATCGGACCGAACGATACGGTATGATTTCCGAAACACTGAACTATGCATGCAATGTCATTGTTCAAATTTAATTTTTTGCATCATTCGTTACACCAAATCTTTTTTTATAAATTAATTTAACTAGACAAAAATGTTAGTTTAGTCTCTTAATGTTAATATTTTTAGGTATTATACTTCAAATTTGTCAATTTAGCACCTGTTATATGAGTAGCCATTTATTTAATTTAGCTAGACTAAGATATCAACTTAGTCCATCCATTTTAATATTTCGATTGTTTTAGTTATTAAACTCCCAGAGTTTTCGTTTAGCATATAACCTGAAAATTTGAGTTTTCTAAAGGCACTTCTGAAATAGATAATTACAACTTTAGAATTTACAAATTCAACGAGTCAATTTAATTCATATAACATGAAAATTAATGATTTATAAGACACTTTCAAATGGAATTGTTCAAAAAAAATTATGACAGTTATAAATTAGGTCACATATTATTTTCTGAACAATGCCTCCAAATTTCACTGGATGACCCTGGTAATAAGTAATAGGGTTAATACCACTAGGAAACCCGAACTATTAACTTTGTGTCATTTGTGTCCTAAAGTATTCGATATGACAATTGTGTCCTAAACTAATTCTCCGTTAGAGTTGATCGGCGTTGATCGTTAGTTTTTAACAGAAAATCCAGTAAGCGTTGATGTGGCATCTGAAGTGGAATTTATAATATTAATTTATAATTATTTTTCATATAAAAAAGAAAATTGCAAAATTACAAAAATAAAAAATAAAAACCCATCTCCATCGTCTTCTCCGACCTCTCACCTTCTCGTCCACTTTACACGACCTCTCCCTCTTCTCAAACCCTCATTTCCGCTGCACACAAGTAGGTTAGGGAGCGACGACGGGCCCACAACCGAGCTTCAAGGAAACCCCGACGGTGGACAGTGGCAGTGAACCAAACCCTAAAATTTGGGGATTTTTTTGTATTCGACGGTGGACAGCGGCGGTGAACCAATCCCTACCTGTGAGAGACATCTCTCCACTCTGCCGCCGAACTCACAAAATCCCCAAGATGCCAATTCATTCTCACAAAAGTCTCCTCCTCTGATGCATTCTCACATCCTCCATTTATTGCTTAAAGAACCCATCAAAGCAAAGGAAGAGATAATAGATGCAAATGAATTATGAGCTTGGGTTAACAGTAGAGGAGATAAAGAAGAAGGGAGCCCTGGCGTTGATGGGAGCTTGATGGAAGTGAGGCCGTAGGTAGGGATTTTCCCTTTTTGTTTCAAAATCTAATTTTTTGATAATTTATTTTTTTTAATTTAATTTGTGATTAATTTGGAGTCTATACATATTTTTATTTTATTTTTAATTTAATTTTAAATAAAAAGTATGAGTTGTCAATGACTTGGCATCTACGTGGCTGCCACGTCAACAAATGTCAATGTTAAAGTTGACTTTTGTCTGGTCAACCGTTATATATAACGGTCAACAAAATCATCAGGACATAGATGACACACAACTATCATACGTTGGGACACAAATGTCATATCGAATACTTTATGACACAAATGGCACAAAGTTAATTATTCAGGTTTCCCAGTGGTATTAGCCCTAAGTAATAATAATTTTCACATTGTGACTCATATGGTATATGTGTTGACACAACTAGGGATGTCAATCCAATCCGTAACCATGGGTACCCTACCCGACCGTAACCGGTCAACGAGGGTAATTACCCGCTTTGACGGGTTAAGGGGCGGGTACGGGTAATCGATAATACTCGCCCTGTTATACCCGCCTCGCTAACGAAAGGGTCAATTTCCCTACCTCTAACCCTACCCAGCAAGCGATTTTCCTTGCCCACACACAAGTGAGGTGCTTGTTCAAGCTCTTCTTGAAACTTTACTTGCTTGGGATATTGACACAAAGGTATCTACGATTACCTTGGATAATTGTTCTACTAATGATGCTTTGATGGGGTTCATGAAGCATAAGTTAAGCAGTGAGCATTTGATGTGGTCTGATTCTAATATTGTCTTTGCTGTTTTTGTTTATGTGTGTATTGATGAAACTAGAACAAATATGATGTATTGTGTTTTTGTTTGTGTGGATTGTAGAAGCAAGAACAATTATTATGTGTTTGTTGTTTTTATTTGTGTGGATTGTTGAAGCTAGAACAATTACAAGTATTGAGAATTTTTAATGGACAACAATATGTATGTGCATATAAGTTTATAAGTTCATATTTTAATGGCTACCCGAATACCCGTGGTTACCCGGTGCAAAGTAGTCAAAATCGGGATTTTATCTAAAATCGAACATTGGGGTAAAATCGGAATCGTAAAATCGTAGGATTTTAACTATCATATAGAATATAACATATAATAATATCAATAAGGTAAATCATTAATAACAGAAAGATACATAATATTTAAAATGATAATTCTCAAGATTTTTTTTACTAAAGATAATTCTCAAGATTAATGTTCCAAAATAACTATTTTAATTGTTATTTAATGCATAACTGAAAATAATTCATGAGTAAGGGATAGAGCTCAATGGGTTTGGCTCTTGTTTTCATGTTGTGTCTAGGTAGCTTAACTCACAGAATATTCCGACATTGTCTAAGTATGATTTAAAACTAAAAATAATTGAATTCCAATAAAATAAGTAATGCTAGTGACTTGGTAAAAATATATTTATGAATAAATTAATTAATTAATATTAATGTTAATTCTTACGTACATCTAATATTAGGACAATTGTTTTACCAATAAGTTAACTTGCACGAAGGGAAAGGGATTGACCGAGCTATAAATTGGTTATTTTTATTATTTAAAAATATTTTTTTAATATAAAAAATATTTGAGATGATTCTCTTCATTGCACTTTCAGCCGAAATAATTATGCTTCTTTTAAATTGGCTCTAACCACCTATTTTGTTCTCATACGATCAAAATCCCGATTTTGGTACGATTTTAAGATTTTAACGATTTTAATCCCGATTTTAAACGATTTCAAGGTCCACCGATTTTATAGTAAAATCAGGATCGGAATCCCTAAGTAAAATCCTAAAATCCTACGATTTTACGATCAAAATCCCGATTTTGACTGCATTGACCCGGTGGATAGGTTATGATTATATCAATTTCATACCTGGTGGTTATTTGGTCGGATATTTTAGGAGGGTTAGAAGTTGGTATATGATAAACCCACACCCGACCCTACCCATTGCCATCCCTAGTCACAACGTAGCTAATCGATCAATCTTCATATCTAGGTAGTTGAACATCAATTTTGATTAGTACTTTCGATGAAACATATATTTAATGTGGAAAAAGGTCTTTTTGTGTTGGTTGCACCATTTACAGTAGCAACTCATTCAATGAACACATCTCTCTTTGATATATCTTCTCAGCCCAGATCAAATCATAAAAGTCTAATATATAGTCATTTGAGTATTTCACTAAGTTAACATCAACCTGAATAATTAAAGGAGCACTTCTACTATGCTATATAGCATTGGTGCTTTAATGTACAACTCAAAGTTGTACCATAACATTAAATGTATAAGTTTAGGTTGTACCATAAAGCAATTTGTACCATTATGTTATGGTACAACTTTACAACTTGAAATTGTACCATCACATAAAGGTACAAGTTCAAGTTGTACCGTAAAAGAATTTGCACAAAAAGTATAGGTACAATATGAAGTTGTACCATAACGTAAATGTACAATTTTAAATTGTACCATAAAGACAAAAACCTATAACACCAATACTATATAGCATTGTAAAATTTCTCTAATTAAAGTTGATATGAAAGTCAAGATAGATATTGATCTAGCGATATCATCTCAAGTTTTTCATTTGTGGTTCTAAAAAATTACAGGAAAAGTAATGACAGATTATGATTTAATTTATGTATGTGCTTGACTTTTTTATTTATCAATTTATGAAAATTTATTAATATGTAAGCATTGACATCCAATGTTTTTAGGGGTAAATCTAGGGATGGCAACAGGTCGGGATAGTGCATATCCGTTACCCTACCCATAGTAGTTCGGGTATTACCCATATCCACATAAGAAACAGGTAGAAAATCAAAACCATGCCCATACTCGTTCAGGTTTCGGGTATCCACGGTTGTCCATGGGTAATAATTTCTTTTTATAACTTCAACTAATATGTTAACATTCACACGTATTCTCACATTACATAAGAGGAAAAGTACGACAATAATTCATTAGAATGAAGAAAATTAATTAAAACAACACAATTTCATGAAAATACTATATTTATATGCTCAATCAAAAATATGTTAGAGAAAAATAATGATTATCGCTAGACAATAAATATATGCATGTGTATAATCGGGTAGGTTCGGGTTGGATAGTGAGAAAACCAGACCCACTCATTACCCGCAATATTCGGGTTCTGGTTTTACCCTACCCGACTAGGTCAGATTCGGGCGGATATCCACAGTTACGGATATTTTTGTCATTTCTAGTCAAATTTAATTAATAGCCTAATTGTTATACCTCTCTATAGTATGATTGACAATTTCTTTATGAAATGAACATTTTCATTATCAGGTCAACTGCAAAGTCATGAATTATTATCGGTTTCATCTCACTGTAACCTCCAAGATTCCAAATAATCATCCTTGGCGTTCTTTGTTACATCATCATGTGATGCCACGATGGAATTGACTAGGTCAACATTACTAATAATGTCCCTCCCTTCCTAACTCTTTGTAACGTGGAACTCATTTGGTTCGTTGCTATAAGACAAAGAAATGGCAGAGGTCATCATAAAATAAGTTACAAACCGCTAACTTACATGCAACGACACCCACGCAACAAGTTTCCAAGAACAAGAGGGATGGACAAGGATTAGCTTGTACAATTTGGTAGAAGAACAAGATGTTATATATGAATCACATATATTCTCGAAATTGTATTTATTCGCAGAATTAATTTGGAAAATCGACATAAATATGTCAGAACAAATTATTTTTATTGAAAACATTCCTGAATATCCTAAAAACTTCTATAGTAAATAAATGGCAGCTACATTGAGTTGTGGGTCTAGGCGTTTTGGAAATTTTGAAGGGCACAGATAAATGTATTCATATGGTGCCTCTGGCTTAGTGGCTAAATTGATATTCCTCAATGCGGGTTCAATACGCAAATTATACTTAATTCATTTCTCAATTATATTTTTATAATGGAATTAATTTCTCAATTACATAGTTAATATATATAAAGTAAAATCATGTTTACTGATAAGGCCCATTATCCCCAACAAATTTTGTAATCAATTTCCTTGGATATTTTTCCAAATTTAAAAAAGGTAAATCATGTTTATTGTTCACTAAAATTTTTATTTGGTTGGATTTAAACCTATTATCCCCAACAATTTTTTATCTGTTTCCTTGGATATTTCTCCAATTTAAGTAATATTCAAATGGTCAATAAGATCAACACTAACCCATATTTTTCTATCAATTTCACTATTCCACAACTTTTCAAGCACAATATTGAAATCTAAACACATTTTTTTATCGTCTTCTTATCTCGGTTTGATACTAGATTAAAGTGTTAGAATCGAATCACAAGTTGCAAATTTACAACAAATTAATCACTTCTTTATTGATTCCCCTGCTTCTATACGATAACCCATTCTCTATGATTTGGTGGTTCTAATTCTCTATCAAAATATCTACACACAAGGAAGAATTGGATATCATGACATGAAGTAAATAACCGAGGAAGCAATCAATAGGAATGATAGCACGAAGATAATCATTATAGAGGGAGAGATCTAAGAATGTTTCAAGAAGAAACGAAAAACTTTACGATTATGACCAATCTATGTACCCTGATTTTGTGACGGAAAATTATATACATGCATGCAACCACTCCAAAGAAATAGACAAAAAACAGAGGGTCCAGAGAAACTATGGAGCTTCTGGCCACCATCGTCCATAGAGTGAGAGATAGAGAGGTCGGCGGTAGATTTGATTATTGTCCATCAGAGAAGGCGCGACAAATATAGCCATTTCTATTCGAAAACCACAAATAGCCCAAAAAACTGAGGGTAGTGTGACAAATCTAGCCAAATCCGTTAGAAACTTTAACACCGTCTGCGACTCCGTTAAATCGTTTGACGGAACGCTGACGAGGACGAAAACCGACCTACACATCATTGACACATCAACAAAACGTACACGTGGAATGCCACGTAAATAATAATAAAAAAAATTATATATGTTTACTTCCCTTTCTCCTTCTTCCCTGTCCCCGAAATTCTAAACTCCAGTTTCTAATTAGGGTTTGCACTTGCTGGAGACGACGCCGCCGCTGGAGACCGCGACCCCCTCCACCGCTGGAGACCGCGACGCCGCCGCTGGAGACCGCTGCCAACTTCATTCATTCTGTCGGCCTTGTATCAAATCTTGATATACTCCTTCCTCTTTTCCCAGAGCTTCGCCGACGCCGCGATGCCGAACACCACGTGCTGAAGACCCATCCCCTGCTTCTCCGGCATCTCCTCGATCTCCCGCCGCGGGAGAGCGATTCCCGTGCCCGCATCGTAGGAGGAGGAGTGGTTGTCGCTGAGGGAAACGTGGGAGAGGCGGTGGTGGTGGGAGAAGGGGTCGTCGTCGCAGGCTTGGGAAGTGGAGAGGAGCTTGAGGGTGTAGAAAACGTAGGTGACGGTGACGAAGAGGACAAGCCATACCATGAGCTTGGGGAGGATCCGAGCTGGGGAACCGGGAGCAGCGACAAAGTTTGGGTTCCGCATCTGATCCCAGATGATCTTCTCCGGATCTTTCTGGTTCCCTTTCATCGTCATTCCCAAATGATTGCTCCCGATTCGCCTCAGCTTGTATGGATTTGGGAATTACTTTTCAATCCGCCAGATGGGTTTCCTTCTTCCACCGGATTCGGATTTGGGGGATGCGGGGAACAGAGAACGCGATTGAGATTTTGCGTCAAGCAATCGAATTAATCATTCAAGAGGAATGAGGGAGAGGAGAATTAGGCATTGGGGTTACAATGTTGGGATCAATCTTTCAATCGTCGTCAGTCTCGTGTCGTGGTCGGAGGAAGAGAGGTGAAGGGGGAAAGAAAAATGAAGGGATAAGGTTGGAATGGAAGAGTCGCGACTGGTGGTGGGCAGCTGATCACTTTCATTTTTTTTTAAGTTTGATTTCCACGTCGGAAAGTGGGGTAACGTCTGTTGCCAACTCAGCGCAAGCCGTTAGTACAGTCATAACGTCTGCTAACACCGTTACCAAAATGGACGGAATTGGTTATTTGTTGTTTTCGAATAGAAATGGCTATATTTGTCAAAAGTGTGAAAGTTATGGCTATACATCTGTATTTTGCCTTAAATTTACTTCACCAAACAACAATACATTGGATTCTATGCAATGTAAATGCACAATTGAACAACTTAAATCCAATCTGCAGTATAGCGCATGCTTTTCTATTTCAAATTAAAAACTAGTTTTCGTTGGTAACTTATTTATGTTGACCATATTGTGAAAAAAATTCAAATTATATATCCTATTTTAGTGTTTCTATTCACCTTAAATTCTGATTATGTCCGTACAAAAACAATTGTGATTATGAACATTAAAAAAATTTGATCCTCGATCTCCAAATTCCATTTCTGCCCCAATGGAATTGTGTTGAATTGATATGTAGATGCCATTTTATCGAGCTGAATGCAATTTGAATTACTTTTTTTTTATTGTTATGGATCAGAATATACAACATATACAATCATAATGAGATACAAGATAATTAAAATTAAACACGTAATCAACAGAATTAGGTGAATGTAGAACGTTGTTGCTCCACGATTTGGACAACCCACCTAGTCGTGATGGCTCTTTGGTGCTGTTTTTAAAAAAAAGTGATATAAGTTTATTTTTTTTATTAGTTACTACTTAATGGATTTAAATTTGAAACTTCCCGGTTCAAAACTATTGATATTACCATTAGACCAAACTCTTATTCTTATACGTGTTGTTAAGCTATGCATATAAATTAGAACAGCAGGGAAGTTATTCTAACACGTGAATTTCATTTGAAGGTCTACAATATTACTCTATTATCATAATTGTGATACGGCAGATGAATTCTGTTTGTCCAAATAAGTGACTTTTCTCTAGCTATTTGGAACGAATTCAACAATATTCGGCTATCTCCATAATATAATTTAATAAATGACATTTGTACTTGTAATTGGCGGGCGGTATTGATTTTATATTAATTTCTGCTAAATGCAGTGTTTACTAAACTAATTACGAGAGAGATCCAATCTAAGAGTGTTTTATTATTATGCGCACGCCACTGCTCTGACAGTCATATATAATATAGAATATAGTCAAGAGATGCAGCACAGTAGTTTGGTGACTTTATGGAATAATATTTATTATGGGTAATATAATATAAGTGATGTTGAATCTCACCAACTCTTCTCCATCATCCGAATAAAAATTTGTTCTAGCGGTTTTATTGTTTGTTTTCTATCCAGAGATTACAAATTCGAATCCTTTAAGTAATATCAGATGAAAATAGTTCGATATCACTTTAATGAAAATATAAATCGTTACAATTTAAATCTCCCAACTACTCCATATCCAACCAATCAGCCAATAATCTAAACTTAAAAAGCACAATTAATGAACAACTTTAGAAGATAAGGGCGAGCATCGGTCCATCCGGTCTAGAACTAGATCGAATCAAGATAACATCATATCAAAATCAAAGGAAACTTGAGAAACAGAACAAAAACATCTTTGGTTCATTTGACTCGACTCTGTTCGATTCATTTTTTTCATATTAAAGATAATTTATAAGGTCGAAGTTATTTAATTCGGTAAAATTATATCTGGTGTAGATCGGTCGTTGCACATAAGCATAAGAGTAACTAGTGCTAATTTACCAAAATCGAAAATTGTATGCAATCGTATATGTGTCATTCAGCTTCCTACTCTAAGCATGACGTACATAACATATTGTTGCACTCTGTAGATGTTTCGTTTTCCTCTCGCTTTGTAGACACTAGCTAAAATGGGATATCCCACAACAACGGAGATCCCCAATGGGCCGAAATACACTTTTTTGTCATTAGATCACCCTTAAATAAGGGGAACAAACAAAGATATGTAGGCTTACAACAGAATCATGCCTAATGTGAAACAAAGAAACAAAGTCGAACCTCAAACAAATGAGGCGACAAGAACAGAGGCTGACTAGCCACCAAATGAGTCGCTCTGTAACCATGGAACACAAACCATCGAACCCAGAAAAAGTACAAACTATGGCAAAGACAACCCGAACAGCCTAACCCATGCAATGAGCAAAGTCCACCATAGCAGCTCGAGTTGTAGAAGCCTTCCAAAGATCCAAATGAAAATCCGAATAATCAACCTAGTGAAGCTATAATCCGTTGTCCAAAGCCGCCACACCAAGTATACTACCTGTAGAAGAAAAAAAACTTTTCATCCTACAAGTGAAAAACAAAGCATATAGGCTTTGGAAGGAAGAGATCCGCCCTTCACCCATTACATCCTCAGAATTATCAATCGTGCTTGCGATCGAGATCCCAATTCTTGAGTGTCGAAGACATGACAACGACCAGAAAGCGAGCAAGGCAGAAGAAACAAATCTCCATCCACTCCTCATGCGTGGGTTATACCCACGGCTACTGAAGCACACGAACAAAGGAAGCAGAGCATGAGAAAAAGGAGACATATCGGAACTACCCGCTTCCCCTTCTAACCTCTATTTTCGAGACTCATGCGCTGATCTGTATAAATGTGTGGGTGATGCCCACGTCTACTTGATTACCCGGAAAGTAGACCCAAATTAAGGGGCGTTGGAGAAATGCCCCATTGTCGACAACCACTCATTGGTAACCACCCCAAAACCGTTCCAAACTGTCAAGAACTCCCTCGTACCCGCTCTGCAAACTCCCCAATGGGCCAAAATAGACACAAGGCCATGTCATGCTCAAAGGCTTAATGGTTGTAGATAGTCCAGATTCAAGCCCACTACCGATTCACAAAATGGCCCGTACACCATACATTTTCATTTACCAAACCTTTTTTTTACTCTATATCTGTGCCTAATTGTGGCATTTGTGAAAAGTAAATCTTTCCTTTTTGAAAAACAACTATACCTAGATCGGAAAAGGTTAAGGTCCACTAACAGTTTTTTTAAGCATATTACTAATACTAAGATTCAATCAATAGAAATATTTTATTTAGATGACTTTTTGATTTAATTGAGTTGATCAGAATTAATAAGGAGGGAGACCACTTAGGGACGCACCGAACATTAATTACAAATTTAGGAAGAAAATTCATGTGTGTTAATTTGGGAAAAGAGTGCATTAATCGGGGGAGTGGATGGGGCTACTAAACACATACCACAAACTAGGGATGACAATCAAACTCATGATTGTGGGTACCCAAATGCCCCAACCCAGTTAATGCGGGGAATCCCCGCAACGACCAAGTATGGGACGGGTATGGGCAAACCCCAAAAAACATTTGATGGATATGGGACAATATGGTTTTAGCCTCCCACGCCTCATACTCATACCCATATCCTCCCCACCAAGAGCATTCTTCACATAAAAAAATACATGGATCAAATTGTAATTTATCAATGATTGTAAATGCAATTGAGTTATCACCCAAACTAAAACCTAATTTCTTTCTCTTAACTCTCCTTTCACTATTCACTTTTTCCCTCGTGTTAGATTATGTTAGTTAGTTATTACTTAGTTGATGTATCAGAGTCAGAGAATAATGATTTGGATTACATTGTACTCTATCTTAGGATTAATGGATGTTTTAGGATAAGACGCTTTGAACCGCATTAAGAATGATTGTATCTTTGTTATGTAACTGTCCAGTCTGGATCAAACTCATTAGAATCGTGGTCCAATAGTGAAAGACTTCTTATAACCAAAGATTAGATAATCATTGCATTCAATCATATTTGATCGTTCCAATGTCGATTCGATCCATTTTTTAGTATTTATTGAAACCAATACTGGACAACATTATATTCAATTCAGTATAATCCGATCGAAATGTCAGTTTGATGTGGTATGGTTCGGTGCGAAGCAAACTGTTCGTAGGTATGTGTACCAAGATACCTCACGACTGCCCTTCCTAATTTTGAGTGAATAAAATTGGGTTTTAATGAGTTGACCGAAAATGAAAAATCTTTAAAAAAAAGACGAAAGAAGTCCGCAATGAATTTTCTGATTTCTAGTGAAGAATCAATGTATTCAGAAACAAATTCTCCATCAAACTTCTACCGTGTTTTGATTAAGAGAGGTGTAGCGCCACCTCTCCTTCTCTAAAAAATCAGCATCTAAAAACCTCGACACAAATCCCCACACCCTGTACACATCCTCAAAATTCGTCACCATCCCAATCACCGCCGTCACCACATGAATCCCACCACCGTCTCTCTTATCCAACAACTCCATGTTGCGCATTGACCCACATCCCAGGGAAATCCCCCCTTCTCCCTGAAAGCTTCTGAACCATTGTTGGACCGTCATCTCCCCTCTCCAATCAAACACATTGAACGCCACTGCCGTCCCCCGATCGAATTCCACCGCCAGCCCATATTGTCAGTAAACAGGATCACAATCACAAATGCGAACACCAAATTTATGTGGTTTCCTCAACTTAGAATAAGTCCACGACACATGGTAGAGTGTTTTCGTATTATTTTCGGTGCAACTCACAAGACAAGGGTGACTAACTCAATATATATATATATATATATATATATATATATATATATATATATACTAGCTGCCCAATAGCGCTATGGGTTAATTACATTTTAATCATAACTTCTACCACCCTCCCTAAAATTGATGAGGCTTTTTTTAACAAAGATAGGTCCTCATGGCATGGCCGGACTACAAATTACAGATAAGATAATATAAAGAACGGTAGTCCATTAGCAACCGGACTCCCAATAAGAGAGCTTGTTATGCCACGAAGTTGGCAGCTCTATTGAAGCTCCAAGGAGCGAAAAGACACTAGACTGACTCAAAGGAAGAGAAAAGAGAATGAACTTCCTCTAAGACAACTCCTGCTCTGCATTGTGAAGACCTACTCAAAGAAGCATCATTGATCACCAGTTGATAATCTTCACAAAAAGAATCAGTAAAGAAATTAGGAGCAAGGCACCAATTCATGGCATCACAAAGTTCAAGCAATTCTGTGATATAGGCATCAGTAATTCCAAAATAAGTTTTTCCAAAGGCAAAAAGAATTGTTCCATAACTTGTGAAGCCGACGAATCCAGTTGCACAACCTTGTTGTGCTCTTGTGGCCCCATCAAAGCGGAGTTATATACCTTCACTAGGATAGCTTATGTTCGATCCTCGAGCCTGAGAACCTTGCCTTGTGGAAGAACGCGATGTTGGCCTTTGCACTCCTTGAGACCGCTGAACCTTTTGTACCTCCGCCGTATCCCATTGCTCCACATGAGCTGTTAGTTGTCTATATAGAGCATGCGCTTGATATAAAATATGAACATAAGTGGCTTGCATCGGCCTTTCCATATTCTCCAAAACATGAATACTGTGAAGGCAACATCCCTCTTGGATATGTTTGGGGTAAAGAATAAGTTTCTCCAAGCTAGGTCCAAAGGGGTCCTCTTCATCGTGTCTCAAATATGATCTAAATCTGCTGTTCTCCATAGTTCTCTGGCTATTCTAGAGTCAAGAAATAGTGTTTGAGACTTCAATTTCCTCACAACATACATGACAAGAATTGGAGGAGAGAGATAATTCTGCGATAATGCAATTTCCTTTAACTGGGAGGAAACCACCGATCATCCTCCATAAAAAGAATTTAAGCCTGGGAGGCACCAGGATACTCCATAAGTACTTCCAGAATTCTGTATAAAAAAAGTAAGGAATATCATTGTGAGTTGGTTTAGCTCAGATACAAGCAAATGATAGTCGGATTAAACTGTACACTCTCCAGATTTATCATAGTGCCAAATTCGTTTATCATCTCGTGGGCAGGACGGAAGCGGGATGGATAAAATCTTTTCTATCGTAGATGGATAAAATAAGGATCTAAGTAGGTTTAAATTCCATGTCATCGAGAGTGGATCCAGTAGATAGGATACTATTGGGTGTTTTAGCCAGGCACCTGGTAACGAGATAGGGCTAGAGGGAGGGTCGGTTGGGGTATCCAGGGATCCTATAGTATGGTTATTCTGGTTCCTTAACCAACTTGACGGCGCAGTCCTTTTATTAAGAGGTCTCTTCCTTCTAGGATACCTTTCCAAGCCCATGATGGGTGGGACCCTTGTCTGGCGATAACAAATTGTTCATTCGGGTAGTACCGAGCCTTCTATATTTTGGCCAGGGTACTTTCTGGATTCTGGAGCAACTTCCAAGCCTGTTTGGCTAACATTGCGATATTGAATCTGTCAAAATCTCGAATCCCAAACCACCTTCAAATTTTCTGACACAAATTTCAGTCCATGTAACCCAGTGTAAACCTTTTCCTTGTCCTGATTTGCCCACCATAATTTTGCAAATGGACTATTTAGGTCTCTGCAGATGCATGAGGTGAGTCTAAAATAGGACATTGCGAAAATCGGGTTCGCAGTTCCTATGGATTTTATAACCACCTCTTTAGCTGCTATTGACATATGTTTAGTTTTCCAATGCTGGATACGGGCTGCCAAAGCAAAGGTTTGAGTTTTAGATCAGTGTACTTGGGAAGGAAGACCCAAATAACGGTAATGAGAACCAATCTTAGTTACTCCAAGGATACCTGCTAGGGTAGAAACCAATGTTGAGCAGATGCAACTGCTTTGGGGAACAAGTTTGTTGTCTGATACTCTGATAATATAGGCAGGCTCCATCGTACCTTCAGTCACCAGCTGTCGAATATAGTGAACATGTACTTTTTGTCCTGTTGTGCAGAACATGATTGGTGGCTATACGAATCGCACTAGTATTATCAACATGTAACCTCACTGGACTGCGCACCACAACCCCAGTTGTGATAGGAGCCGACAAAGCCAAGTAATTTCCGATGCCACTTCACTCATCACCCGATACTCTACCTCAGCAGAAGATTTCGACACTCTGTCTTGTTTCTTGCACCTCCATGATATATGAAAGCATTACCTACTTTCACACACCGCCTCGATGTAGAAGGAAGGGTATCTAAACAACTTGCATAGTCTGCATCAACATAGGCCTCCAGTACTGGTTCACCCCCTACCGGAAACAATAACCCAACATCAGTAGTACCCTTAAGATACCGCAGAATCCTTTGAATTGTAGACCAATGAGTACACCGGGGAGCGGACATAAACTGACTGACTATCTGAACTGCATAAGATATGGCCGGAAAAGTGTGAGCCAAGTAGATTAGGCTTCCCATGATGTTGCGATACAACAATCCATCCGATAAGACATCACCTTCAGCCTGTCGCAGCTTTAGATTTTGTTCCATTGAAGTAGCACACGATGTACAGGAATCCATATGCGCTTCCTCAAGAAAGTCCAGCACGTACTTACGTTGGCTAACATGAATACTTAAAGGCGAAGGGTGAACTTCTAAGCCGAGGAATTAAGAGAGAGTGTCGAGTTCCTTCATATTAAAGGCCAAGCACATCACTTGAGTCACTTCATTTATCCCTTCCACATCATCACCACTAATGACCATATCATCCACATATATTAAGAGGACAGTAGACTCCGAGCAGTAGTCCGAAGGAAAAGAAACGGATCACTATTACACTGAGCAAAATCGGCCAGCATAATAGTTTCCTGGAATATTTCAAACCATGCCCATGGTGCCTGCTTTAGGACATACAAAGATTGACGAAGATGGCAGACAATAGAGCTATCACCTTTAGTATAGCCCAGCTGTCTTTGATGACTCGATATTTGCACATGTTTTCCCCTTTGTTTCTTGATTGTTTGAGCTTTAATTATCGCGTCTTTGGCCTATTTTACGCTAGGTTGTGTTCCTTTGTCACATTTCAGGTCCTAGCACATAAAGTGAAGCATAGGCTCAAGTTTCAAGTTAATCAGAGATCAATTGGCGATTAGGGAGAAGAAATTCGGGCATGACCTGAAGAAGAATGAATTTCTACCTCACTTTATGGACAAAGAATCATGCAAGCTTGTCATGAAAAGAAAGAGGATGAGACTACGAGCGTCTGGGATCAAACGGCGACTGATTCGGAGTCCGGACGAGGGAGAAACGAAGCATTGAATATAGGGGAACAGGTTCGGCAGTAAAAACACGGGCGCGCCTAAATCAACACACGGCCGTGCCCATATTTAGGCAAGACCGTGTTTTGGCCGACGCGCGCGAGCGTGTTTTTAACACGGGGAAAAACACGAGCGGTCAAAAGCAAAGCACGGCCGTGCCCTCGACCGTGTTTTGCCCAGAATCAGGGTTTTTAACGCAAATTCGAGCCAAAGGAGAGGGGGAGCTGGGTTTTGGATCCCAAACACCCAAGGGACGAACTAAAGAGAGAGAGGGCGATTTGAGGGCATTCTTGGAGTGGAATTGGAGGATTTCTTTGCCTTGGAAGCTCGAGGAACAAGCCCGGACTTGAATACTGATCATCTGAAGATTCTTACTGCAGTCTCTCTCTTCTCTATGGAGTAACTTCCCTTCACTTAGGTTTTGAGGAACCCTAGCTATGTTTGTTTGATGGATGATTGTATGAGTACTCTGACTTGATAATCTTGAGTTCATATTCAATCTATGCATGTTTTCATGATTCAATTCTACTTTAGTCGAGATTATTGATTCTGCTTTGATCCTATGAGAGGGAATACCTGATTAGGTCAATAGAGCACCATAGATTGATAGTAGTGGATCGATTGCTTTAGTCGAGGGTTGATTCACTGCTTTGTATCGATTGAGAACCTCTTTCGATAGAGGGAGTCTAGTTCAGAACGCCTTGATCAGGTGTTCTAGAGAAGGATACGTCCCTCTAGGCAATTGACTCAAGAGGGCCTTGTTCCTTTAGTCGAGACTCAAGGTCTAGTCAAGGATTCTCCGCATTGTGAATGAAAGTGAAACAGGTTAGAGATCATCAATCATTAATCTGGCTAGTGGCTAGGGGGAATCATACCTAAGTGAGTTCCCAACCTGTAATTAGATTAACTTTAACTGTAATTTGCTAGAGTAGTTTTAGTTCTTTCATCTTAATCTGGTTTGCTAAATAATAAACTGAAGCTGAGTAATAGTAACTCTAGAGACCCGTGGATTCGATATTTATCACTTGAGTCACTATACTGCAGTCCCTTTCATTGGTTACACTTGGCCTTTGTTAGGAGTTGTGTCGTAGCGAGTCAGTCTTTCTATATAAATTACTTCCTTGAGATCACTAACATGAAACACATTCTTCACATCCATCTGAGATAACGACCACCCTTTCATAGCCGCGACAGCCAACAAGCTGTTAATTGTCTGCATCTTTGCAACAGGAGTTAAGGTCTCCTCATAATCAATGTGGTACTCTTGATAAAACCCCCTGCACCACCTTTCG